TTTTTTTCTATTTTTTTAAGTGAATCAGCACAGAAAATATCAATTATTTGATATAAAAATACAAAAACGATTTTCAATTAAAAAGAAGTATCATGAAATAAATTGAAACTTGAAGAAAATCTTCGCTTCCGTTTATAAATATATTACTATTGACAAGAGATGTATCCAAAACAATATTGTTTTTTTATTTAAAACAATCAAATTCTATTTTACAAATCGACTGTAGATGTAAATCGAAGATGAATATAATACTAATATTTGCATTCATATGTACTCTCAAATATAAAAATTATTGCTCATTTTTCTAATGAAATGATAATGATAATACCGTTTCCGTTCATTATAAATTCACGTATGTTATCATTGTTGTTTTTTTCGTATCTGTTTCTATTTTGCTTCTTTGGAAATGAAAATTGTTACTACAGTATTATTGACGATGTCATAATATAGAATAAATAAGTTATTTTTATTTTAAACATCGCTTTTTTTAAAGAACATAATGTTGATTTAATTCGAATATAGTCTTCATTCGTTTATTGAAGATTCATATATGATTTATTCATCACAATGACTCATTCAAATTTACATTTTTCTTTTTTAGAAATTCCAATATAATTATATAGCGTACGTTATTCTTACAAATTGAAACATAACAAAATATTTTACAAGATAATAAAGAAATGATCTTCTTAAATCACTAATATTAAATCGATAGTTTTATTTATGAGATATTCGACGGAGGAATAAATAATCTCAATCATCGAATGAACTTGAAAAACGAACAGATTTTGTCTAGTCTACGATTTTAAATCAAATGAAAGAATGTATTACAAATTTATTTGAACAAAAAATATTTTTTTTAAATAATAATTGTATATCATTGTACTGTGTCGTTAGAAGCAAAAGGAAATATTTATATATCGTCTGATGAAGCAAAATACCGTTTAAATACTCAGATGCCAAACTAAAAACGGTTTTCATATGGTAATGTTCCTCTTGGCAATTACTGAACAGAGAGTATTACTCAAAAATAAATTGCACATGCCCGCTATTTACTTTCATTTTTTTTTTTAATTTAAAAAAAAGAAAAAGAAATTAATATAAATGTTTCTAAAACATTAATAAGACCATTATGCAGCATATAGCATCTTCTCAGTAAAGGTATATCGACGATTTACAGAGAAGTAATTCTACAAACCAACCAACATCCAAAGATATTAGTCTAGATAGTAATATTCTTGTTACATTTTTAGAATTAATACGACTGAAAGTTTCAAATTTACATCTTCTATCTTGCATACAATAGAAGCTTCCCATTGAAATCATATGAAATTTAATCGACTTTCATAAAAACGAGGCATAGAACAACAGAGCTGATTCAAAATGTGCAATCAATAATTTACATTGAGTGAAAGAGGCTAATCAACGTGAAAATGATGCTGTATATGAAGTTACAGAAGATTTGGGTCTCGTTTTTAATTGTATAGTTTATTTTGATTGAATACAATATATATCATTCGTCAATATTCCGCGACAGAAGAAATAGATCTTTTAGTTCTATTATCTATCTTTCAAATAGTCAATTTAAAAAAATATATTTATAATTAATTTTCACTTTTATTCAAAATAAATATATAAACTAAACAAATAAATTTTACCACCATAAATACAATTTTCGATTAATAAGTTTTAGAATATAATCACGAAGAAGTTTTTTTGATTTACGTAAATTTTTCAATATTATCATCAGATCATTACGTTGTTTTGTAATACATAATGAAGATAAATAGGGAGTATTATTATTAGATTTTGACAATAAAAAACGAGCTATAGGTTCTAAATCTTGTTTGAATAAGTTAATAGTAAGATTTTCCATTCGACGAAAAACAGCGGTTAATAATTGAATTTTTTCTAATGTAATTTCTTTATTAATTGTTACTTTTGTTATCATATTTGTTTTCGATACTAATTGAGTTAATGGATTTTGTTGAATTGAATTCGAATTATTTCGAAAAAGTAGCATTGAGTCAAGTTTCAATGTATGAACATTTGATGTAAATTGTAAAAGTTCAATTAATTTTTCAAAAGAAAAACGACAACATTCAATGGATAAGTTAGTAATTTTTTTCAATGGAAAAATATGATTTAAATCAAAATCTACATAAAGTGTAAGTTTAGTCGCATTTGCAAATTTATCAGTAGATTGTTTCATCATATCTGTCGTATGAATACAAATATGATCAATTGGATCTTTATTCATACCAAAACGAGTTGACCACTTGTTTTCACTCAGCTGATCATATAATACGTAATCTTTTCTTCTGAAAAACAAAAAATAGGAGATGAGCATAATCTGAGATATTAGTTTTACCTATATGGATTTCTTGAATAAAAGTTAGCATAAGTGGACAATGTTGTTTCACGATAATGCCAATTAAAGAACCATTGATGTTCTATCCAAAATTTTGAATTAAATTTATTGACAAGAGTTTCAAATTCTGGATGTTTATAATCAGGATCTAATCCATCACATGTATATTGGAAATCAAAAATACGTAAGTTTAACATATGAGTTGAAATTAGTCGTTCCCATCGATCAGCATCGATATATTCATCAGTGTTAGGATGAATTCCATATAAAAAGTATGTTGCAATACTTAAAACTTGAATTTGACGAAAACAATTATTCATTAAAATTTCAAACTGATCAAAAGGAGCACAGAGTAATTTAATAGAAACATTTGTTAAATGATTTAAGTTTACTGCATCTTTTTCTATTCGATTATGTTTAGATTTCGTTAGATAATGAATGGATAAACGACGTAGTTGTGGAACATAGGATAATATAACAATAAGTTGATCAATCAGAATCTCATTATTAATAATAAGATATTCAATAGAACTAAATTCATTTGTAGCAACACAAAGTATTGATTTTGGATATTGTAATAATTCAATTGATATTTGACAATATTTTAATTTAGATAAACGAAATAATTTAGGATAAATATTATTTTTCTTGGTAAGATTATTAACCGATATTATAGTTAATGAAGATAAAACAGGTAAGGAAGATAAACGATTAACAACTGGTTCTATATGATTAACTTCAATCTTATTTAAAATAAGGGTTGTAAGTTGGGTTAAATGTTTCATTAACGGAAATAATAACAAACATGGATCAATACATGGATTCGATAGTCGAAATAATTTAATTCGCTTAGTACAAGG